GATTTTTAAAATCGAAAATATTATTACCTGCTTTCAAAATCACAAGATTATTACTCACCTTCGAAAGCACAAAGCTACATTTTCTTCTGTAACGACTCCCACATTACTTTCAGCAGTAACGTAAATTCATAATGCTGCGAAAGACGAAAGCCACGTCGCTTCTGAGCTTCGACATTCCAACAGAAGGATCTTAACATCTGCCAATAAAATAAGAAGACGTTCGATCGAAGTTCTTAAGCAACGTGTCGTCGTGCCATCGACTAAGGTTTCCTGTGTCCTCCAGTTCGTAGCAGAGGAACGTCGTTCAGCGTTCATCTTTTATGAATCAAATTGGAATCAAGAGGCGATAATTACAGCGGCGTAATGGTCGCTTTAAATAGCGGGGAGGTAGCAGCACTCATTGTCAATCCGTTTCCACGATCCTGTGATACGGCGAGTAATGTAAACTGACTGACAGACGAAGGAGAGACCGAAAAGAGGGATTGGGACATACAATGGCTTTCGATGCCTGGAAGGTAGAGACGATGGAAGGAATTGCGAGAGGTGGGGGGGGGGAGGGAGGAGGGGAAGGCCAGCAAATGGATCTCGTCCGCATCCCGGGACCGGAAATGAACGAAATGGCCGCTAAGCGAAAAGGGTTCCCTTCTTTGAGCTTTCGAAATGTTCAGAGATGGACGCAATGACTCCCTGATAACTGTTGCGGCGTGCAAACAGAATTCTGATTTCTACCGTTTTACTCGAGCGCCTGTTCCTTTACTCTCGCTCTTCTTTTTTCCTACGATTTACGTGCTGATTGTGGACTATTGTGGACTATTTTCTGTTTAGTGCGGCGATTCTCAGATTTTGTCTTTTATCGAGTCGCTTTATTAAGAGCTTTCGCGTGCTCTTGGCTTTTTTTTTCTATTTTAGTTGTGGCTTTTACCCGAAGATACGTAATATACAAAGTTACTTAATATGTAATATCATACTTAATATAACATAATATAATACAAATATAATAAAATACTTGAAATATAAAATAATAATATTTAGAGATACGTGTCTAATTAAGCCCTACTATTTTAGTTGCGTTCATAAAAATATGAATTGGCACAAATATCTATTTTACCTGTATTTAAGTTATTACGTATTATTATTTGAATATTTTAGTAACCAACGGAAACGCATTCTCGATTATATCGTCAAAATTAGACTGTTCGTTTTTCATTGATCGTGAGGATATCGTTCGGTCGTTTTATAGGAAAGTGGGAGATGTAATGACTACAATAAGGGCTGAAGATGATATGGCATTAGTGTCGAGTACGATGGCTCGCGTATTTGTCAATAGGTGGCTGTTAATGACAGGGTGCCCGTCCCTCGTCTCGTAATCCTCGCCGGATTCATCCCTGTTCCACTCACCCTTTTGTGTTTCCCTTTCTCCCTGCGTGTCTCGCCCCAACCTTATCTCCTACCAGACTACCTAACCCCACAGTACTAACTACTTATCCGTTCGCTTATAATCCTTCTACGTTTCAACTTATTAATTACGGCAATTTGAGAGACAGCTGTCGAAGCAGTTCACGCGTCCAACCTTCCTCACTAGCTTTCGTTCAACTAGCTATATCGTGGAAAATGGAAACATTGTTTGACTTCTCGATTGTATTTAGGTTAATACGCACCCTTTCGTCCGGTGGTGCTTGCTCTGTAGGTAATTTTAATATTTGCCTTTGGACAGAAAATCAACGAACAATTTTTCACAAGTTTGCGCAACAGTTGCAAAATAAAATTCGATATTTTAGAGATCTGGGACGAAACAATTTACCATTTTAGGTACGAAACTGCAGTCAGCCACAATGAACTTCTCTTGATATCGCGACGTTTAACTCAACAAATCGTGCCATTCTCCGTTCGATTCTCGTCGAGGGAACGAGCGAGAACCACAGAGATAAAAGTCTTCGTGGAACGTGTGGACGGTTAAAATGCAAGTTCAGCGTGACAAGAATTCAAACTGTACGAGAGGAGAATACAAGCCGGTGTTTCTGTAACGAAGGTAAATGATGAAGACGACGAAGAAGACGACGGGCGTGCTCGTGAGCAATAAACTAACGCCTCGCGGCACAACGGCGGATCACGCCGCAGAGGGCTCTAAACATTCCGCGCGTCTATAAGGCGTTAAGCGCACTAGCTTTATTGCCTCTCGGCCAACCAGCTGAGAAAGGAGAGGTGCCTTTATGAGCGCGAGGCTTAGTCCGCCGCTGATACCCGGTTAACTTTCCTTGATCGTTACCAGGGCACGGCCATGGCCGTTGTTTCTGCCTTCCAACGACACGTCCGATGCCTCCCCGAACGAATTTACTCTTTGCTCGCATTCTATCGGGCCGAAATTTATGCCCCGGCGTTAATTGCTCCGCGTTCCTACGCGTGCCGCTACGCTGCTCTTCGTTTCTTGATTATTATACTCGCGGTGGTTACGTACTTTGCACGTTATGATGTTCCGAACAACTTTGAGATACAAAGGACCAAAGGGTTGAATTTGTCTTCTGGCGTTGGTCTCTGGAGAGATTGGTGATGGAATGGTTAGCTACGTGAAATTTCAGTGGTTACTTGTTGCATAAGTTCTGCTAGTCTGTTGAATCACGTAATTTGTTGAAACGGAAAGTAAGAATGCACGGTAGCGTGCGAACCTGTGCTTCGAAGCACCCTGTCAATTTTAGACAGAGTCACGTTTCTTTCTTAAGATTATTTTATTAAAGATAAATTGATGTTTATTTATAAATTGCTACGAAAGTATCATGAAAGTGTAATTCGTAATTATAGTAACGGCACAAAAGTCACGGATGATCGCTTTTTGTCGTTTAAACTTTCGAAAAGTTCTAAATCCTTAGGCTGATCATGTCAGAACTGAATCTATTGAAGCAACGGTCTAAGGTTCTTCCACACGATTAAACAAATGTTATTAAAGAAATTTTTGAAAAATTTTTAATGTCGTTTCAGTAACAGAGCTTCACAACCTGTCGTTCGTCTAACTATCACGCAAAGACCTCTGAAATCACGAAATTCATCGAGCGGGCCGCGGATTTTCATGTAAATCGATACTTTCGAGAATGCGGGTACTGTATTTTACGACAGTTGATATATCCTCTTCGCGTTACGCGTGTTCTTTGCGATTTTGTATTTTGCAAATCTGCAGTCTATTCATGAGTCTGTCCGTTTCACTCGCCGGAAGTGAAAGCAAGAGCTTTCTACGAAATAAATGGGGCTCGAAGCGCGGGCGTTATCCCGCGAATGTCTGAAGAAGTTCTCCCGAAGTTTAGAAATTAAATAACACGGCCGGGAGAGAAAACCGAAACGCGGCGAGACCTCCGCAACAGAACGCAAAAGTAGAAACAATCGTTTGCCTGCGAAATGAGACAGACATTAGAACGAATGTACGGTTAGTTGAATCGCTCGGGCTTCTCTTCCCTCCGCTCACGCCGGATTCAGCTTCGAGGCGAGTTTCGAAGACGATGTTCGAATGTAAATTGGATTTCCATGCGGAAGTTTTCACGGAAGGTAAACACATTCGTATGAGATCGTTTAGCCGGCGCGTTATCGTCTCGTAAGCCAAACAAGTGCGATTAAAGCGCAGCCAATTCTTTCACGGTTCAACGAAAGCGATGAAAGATCGCCGAGGAAGGAGAGTTCGGGGGTGAAACTTGAAAATCACGATTCTTCCGAGCGACGGACGATATACCGAGCCCCGTTTTAAGCCCGTTAGCGCTACGCCTGAGACTCTTAAGATAAAACCGTCGTCGGGATATCCTTCAAAACCTGGGGAGCGCGCTTACTAATAGCTTAAGTTTGCCCGTACTCGTGCCCGTGCGTTATCGTTCGACGTCAAATACACGAATCGTCGGGCGTAAAGAGCTTTGCCCGAGCATGTTCAATGAATCGAGAAATAAATTGAAAATCGATAGCCGAGCTTCGCCGGATAATTCGCGAGTTGAGCTTCCAATCAAGTGTTTGATTTTAATTTGCCTTGCGTGGGAAAATTATACACTGATTAATGTGAATCCGAGACGGAGAATCAGAGAAACTAGGACGGATGTTTGAAGTAAGGTAGGTAGGGATATATTTACGTCTACGTGCATCGAATTTTCAAAAATATCTTATCCCGTTTTTTTTTTTGATTTTGTAACTTAATTGGTGCGTAAACATAGTGCGTTTAATTTTACCGTGTACGCTTGATGGAACTTTCCTTACGATACTGGACATGCAAGCTTCCCACGATTCAAGACTTCAAACGAGATAATGATTTCAAAAGATTTTCATCATCTTCTAGTCAAATTTACTTCGTACTTTCCTTACTGTCTCAACTCGGGGAGGGGGAGGGGGGGGGTATGTATTCCTTAAGAAATGTACTTGGAGAAGCTTCTATATCAGCGCTTTGTTTGATTATTCAAGCTCCAACAAGAAGAAATACCATGATCGGTGTAATAAATTCCATCTCGGAGTCTTCCACTGGAATTTAACTGGTAAAGGGAAAGATTCTTCTTCACAATCATTTCTTCTCTCTCTCTCTCTCTCTCTCTCTCTGTCTTTCTGTTTCTCGGAGGATTTTATCTTACGGTGAAAAAGAAGTTCATCGAGATATCGAGTAACAAGGTTGTCGAACGCCATTAAGGAAGGAGCGGGCGAAAAAGGAAAGCGGGCAAAAATAATAAATCTTAGGCAAAACGGTAAGAGCGTTTGTTCATCTTGCAACCCTCCATATCCCAGCGTTGACGTTGTTAGAGCGAGAAGAAGCTTCGAAGCCACTATCCGTTGCGGAGCATCTTTGCAGGAAATCTCGTATCTTCTGCGGCAAAGAAATATTTACATAGCTGAAAGCATAGAGGAAAACTCTTACGGGCGTTCGCAACGAATTGCAAACCAATGCAAATTCCACTGTAACCACGGCGTTTGTGAAAGCGCGTTCCCCTACCGCCAGCCTAGAATCCGAAACCACCGGGCCTGTTTTACGCGGCCTCTGTGCGCAGCTGGTATTGAAAAAAGAAATCGATTAAGCAAGACCTAGATATCATTCTTTCAGCAGCGTTTCATTCGGTTCTGAATAGCCACTGACAATTAGCGTTGTCGGTGATGTTTAAAAATATCAATTAAATTACTTTATTTCCGTGAAGATTATTCGTTTATTTGAGAAGATTATCTAGTAGAAAATATCAATTGAATTAAATTTTAATAATATTAAGCGAATCGCCCGATTGTTAATTTTGAACGAAGAGACTTGTTCGATAGCTTTCTGATAGTTAGCGAACTCGGGAATCCGTGTGGTTTTCACGACATCGTCGATACTGCCAGCTGATTAATTTCACAAAGCGTCCGTTTTGCGATCTGCTTCAAGCCTACAGCAAATTTATATTCTATCAGCGCGATCCTCCACGCGTACTTCGAGATTCCGTCTTCTCTTTGATCTTCAACCTGTTCTTCCCCTCTCGATCTTCCGATTCTACTTGTTCGATCTACTCGTCGAATCTTCTTTCTTTCGATCTTTCTGACATCCGTTCTTCGACCTACTACCTGGAGGATCTATCTTTTTACCCAAACTATTCTCACTTATCCGAGCGACAGTGGGGAAAAGTATTACGCGATCGCGGCCGGGGATAAAGGGACGACAAAGCCGGGGCAGAAAGAGCGCGTTGACGACACCGTTGAACGAGACGAGGACGAGGAGCGGAGGGCCGAGAAGCGGAGACCGAG